TGTGTGTGTGTGGTAGCCTATCCGTTCGAAATGTTTGGAGACCCGAAGAGCGTGCTCTTCGCCAGGGCCACCGCCTCCCTTGGGAAGCAGGTGAGGCAGTCCAACCTCCCCGAATCCTCCCCGAAGAGATGCCACCGCCGGACAATGTTGCTGTTCTTATTTTTGTTGTTGTTAATGCTGTTGTTGCTATTGTTGTTTTATTTGTTGCTGTTGTTTTTGTTATTTTCTATTTTACTAAATGTTTTCTTAGCTTATTTACATGGGTTCTTTACTTAGTATCTATAAACACCTTAAAACAAGCACAGTGTGTGGTGTGGAGTTTGGTACAGTTAACGACTTTGTGACAAACATCAAAATTCATCACCTCATTTACCACTTTACGTAGACGTGAAAATAATACAGAAGTAAGATTGACACTTTTGTATCTGTTATATTCCTCATAGTAAATCTGCGGGAGGAGACCACTTTTACAATCGATTGATGAATAGTTGTTTTTTTTCTTCTGAATCTAACCTCGTGTAGTCGAGCGTGGCCTACGTCCCCCAGTCTGCGTGGATACAGAACAACACCCTGAGAGGAAACATCCTGTTTGGAAAGAGGTTCGACTCGAGCTTCTACCGCAGCGTGGTCAAAGCCTGTGCCCTGCAGCCTGACCTGGACATTATGGCGGCCGGTGACCAGACAGAAATAGGAGAAAAGGTAATTTTGGGGTTTTAGAACGATTGAAGTTCACGTCACATAGGTTTCAGACACACCCAACAGGTGTCCAGCATAGAAATAGAAAATAACATCGCAAAGACTCATATCTAATCAGCACAAATTGTTTGAAATTGTAACAATAAAACAAATAAAATGTTTTGTCGACATAAAGAGAGACAGAAGAGCATCATACTATACAGCACAATGCCAAGAGGATACAAACAGAGAAGACAGAAAAAGAAGTGACAGATGAACTTTTATGAGTGGATAGGTCGCAGTTTGCTTGAGCTTATCAATATCAGGTACGTTAGCTGTATGAGGCATGATCTTTTGAATCGAGAAAGTTA